CCATGGAAAGTAGCATCCAAGCTCAGCATGGTGGCTTCACTCAAGCAGAAGAAAAGTAGAGCTGTGAAGGTCTATTTGTGAATGTGTTTTTACTAGCTGGTAGAAGAGGTTTTACAAGTTTGAAAATGGAGTGCATTAATTCATTTGACTTTTCAGAAGTTTGCAAATTCCCAGCCTGAGTTTCCTCCCTAATGGTTAGAAGAAATTGCTGTGTTATTTGGAAGTAACTGCCCTGTGTCTTTATGTGAAGAGTGTGCTGTTCTGAGTCACCTACCAAATACAGTTTTACAGAAATTTTTTACTCTGAAAAGAAATTTCACATTTTCAGAGATATCCTGGTCTGTTCCCTTCCACCAGTATCCCTTGTGCTCCTACATATAGTGCAGAGCAGTGCCAGTGAAATCCTAATTGAAGGCATATGCTCCAGGCACAAGAGCCCTGCGGAGCTGGCAGGTCCCTGGGCACAGAGTCTCACGCTTTTCTCTTCCCTCTCCCTCACAGGTGTGTACTTTGACAGCTGCGTCAGACAGATCAAGTTCGTTGACTTCTGTGGGAAGTATCGGCTCCCGCTGATGCACTACCTGTGCTCCCCAGAGTGCTCCTCTCCCTTCAGCTCTGCCTCCCAGAGCTCCACTTCCCAGAGCGAGTCTGACTCTGAGGATGAGGCCAGCGTCGCCGCGCACAGGATGCAGAAAGTCCTTCTGGGATAACGGGCAGCCACAGGGGAAGACAGGAAGGAAAATGGATTTGAAAAGCAATAATGGAATGGTGAAGCATGAGCTACCAGTCTGAAGGGCTCATGAGAAATTGTCCTCAAGTCCATGCAGGGACAGAACATCTTAGCAAGCCTGGACTTGCTTGGTGCAGTGCTGCTTAGGAGATCTAACTCAGTAGCATGCTGCCTGTAGGTTGCCTGGGGTTGTTAGAAATGTCTCCTGGCTGGGAGGCACCCCCCTGCCTCAGATGGGCTGGGAGAGGGATTTGTTCTCACTGGCGGATTCAGAAGGATTTTAATATATGAAACTTGACTGGACTTCAGTCATCCTGCAGAGCAAAGGAGACTGTCCAGATCCTTTAACACTGTGGTAAATTAGAAACAGGCTAATGATGCCATGTGAGTATGTATGGACCCCAGTGTTTTATATAGCAGTTTGATTCCTTTCTGTCTCCTTTGATCTCAGTTACAGATTTTACACCCATCCACTGAAAATGAAAGTTGAAATTTTTTTTATTCAGGACTAGATTTTTCCAAACTCTGGTTACTCTTCCTTTGCCTAGAGGTGTAGGGTTTCTGTACTGTTACAGATGTTATAGTCATCATAGAACTGAGCCACTTTTTTTCTCCCTTGTTATACTGTGCTGCTCTTAGTGTCTCCTTCTAACAATATTTGTAATTTTTCCTCCTCCTTCCTCTTCCCATTACACCTGAAGTGTTGCTGTCTTTCTGGTGCCTTCAGAAAACAGACAAGTTGTTCTGTTATAATTGGTATTACTTCAGACTTGTGACCTGTGCAAGGGACCAGATGTGATGCTCTGTATCACACTTTTGAGTCTCAGCTTACTGGAGCAAATCTGCTTTTATAGCTGTGAATGTAGGAAAGGTCTTGACTGACATTTTTGGTTTATAAACAGCCACATTTCCCCAGTGCAGTTTGCTCTGCTCTGCTTGGTAGAGTTACTTTCCATCTTTAAGGCCATGGGCCTAAGGTACATAGCAGCTCAGTGAATTGAAATACCCAGAGAAGTGCTGTGGAGAATGTCTTTTTTTCCTGATTCCTAACAGAAGAGGAAGAGCTGGTAGGGAGGCAAAGGCATGTTATCTGAGCTTCTTGCACAAGGTGCTTTTGAAATGTCTTCCTTATTTGTTTGCATTTCCTCTCGTGGCAGTAGCTTTGGCAGTCTGTTGATGGTTCAAATAATATACTCAGTTATCTTAAACTATGTTTAAGAGAAAGCTGCAGAAAATAGCTCAGAATTTTTAAGCATCAAGAAATATCTTATAAAATTAATATTACAAATTGACAGCTATCTATAAATCTACTTTATGAGGCTGTTGTGTGCTTCACTCAGTGGGAGCTGCCCCTTTATTAATATTTCATGGTAGACAGTCCTTTTGATGCAGTTTCTGATAGAGCAAATCCAACTGTGCCTTTGAGTGCATGAACAGAGCAAAACCATCATGTTAAGAAGCTGAAATGAACAAGAAAAACTTTCTTAACCCACTTTGGCCCTACAGGGTAATTTAAAAACCTGTGCTTCTCTCCTGCATTCAGAAAACACATATACCTATTTGAACATCTTATGGCAGCTCTGTGTTAATGGTCCTGTTTAATTATGTTTGACACTTTATGTATTAAAGCACTTTGATAATTCTGCTCTTTATAACTAGCTTTAGTGATTTTTTTTTTTTTATTAGACTACAATTTTTGCTTTCATGTGACCTGAAGAACATGGTCTGTGAAACTTTGTATGTTCCAGTCTGTCTTGGTGAGCAAGTTGAATTTCTTGCATTTCCTTGACAGAACTCTTTATTTCCCCAGTTTCCCTTGGAAAGAACTGGAATTTGAAATTATCTGATAGTAAAATAGTACCCTGTCCACTGTTAATCATTGCAACTTAGTTCCCACACACACATGTGATTCCCTGTGTGCATTGATCCACAAGGAATTAATTGCATGTGCTCTATGCCTTTCCAAATAATTTTTTAAGTATATTTTTAAGACACAATGAGGTGTATGTGCCAAGCAACTGGATGTCACTTTAGCAGATTCTGTGAGGTTTGCTTGGGAAGAAGAACCTACAGGTTTTGAGAGAAACCAACTGCATGCTGTTAGTGAAAATGCAACCAGTGAGTGGCCTGCTTTGTTCATCTTCTCTTTCAGATGCTTCTTGCTGTCCCAAGTGAACGTAGGCACGGCAATGCTGATGACAGTAAGATGATTCCAGAGCCACAGTTTTAACTTGCCTGCTGGTATAACCGTAGCAGTCAACTGAGTGATCTAGAGCTTGACTCTCCTGCCAGCAAAGTGAGCCACACAAGTTGAGATCTCAAGATCTTTTGAGCTCAGGGCCATGAGGTACCACCTTCCTTTCTTGTCTTTAGCAGCAGCTGCCTTGAAGTCATATTTTTTTTTCACTTCACAAAGCTAGATTTCATCAGAGTTCCTGCTTGCACAGTAGCACCTGTGTGTGATGAGTTCAGACCAGTGGTGGCTGGTTCTAATTTAGCTTGATCCTTAACTTAGTGTCTTTCCTAACTGAAGAGGCATCCCACTTCTGTCCAAATATTATATGGTCTATTAGGGTAATCCTTTTTTTTTAACAGATTCTTCACTGTAGCCAGGTCAAAACTTGACAGCTTATGCAGTTGATATCTATGCATTTTTAGACTTGATAAAATGTGTCTTAAAATTTTTATATATATATATACATATATATTCCTGAATATAGCTACCAAGTTTTCTTTTTGCTGCTGGGCTTTAAAGTGCAATTCAAATAAGTCAGAACTTAAAACAATCAAGAACTTGTATGGAAAACAAATGGTTGGTTGGTTGGTTTGTTGGTTGGCTGGGTTTGAGTTTTTTTCTTTCTGAGGTAGTTTTGAGAAGACTAGGGATGCGGATATATATTGTAGTGCCTAACACATTGAGTCCCTGTGAGTTGTTTTGCAGCAATTGTTCACCCCCAAAGACTTGAAAATGTACTGGGCAATAAAGTAGGTGAGACACAACTTGAAAATACGCAGGTGGATGATAGGCACTAGTTTCTACCATCCCCTTTTCAGGGGCCTTGAGAAGTAGGCAGTGTTTTTGCCACTGTCTGTTTGTTTTCTGTCAGTTTTTAGCAGATTTCAGCTCCTGAAGATGCATCTTCAAGTGAAGTCTTCAGTCAGTGTTTTGGTATCAGTCCCCTTGTTGCTGCAGCAGCCCAGCATGAGCAGCTTTTGAAGCTGTTCTTAAGCTGTGACACGAGTGTGTAAAGCAAAGTTGCTCATTCCCTCTTCCATGTGGGGCCTGGGGCCCTGCCTGCATTCATCCACTGCCCCACCAAGCCTCTGCCAGGGAGAGCTGCTGGTGTGTCTCTGAATGCAGGTACTTGATGGGAACAGTGGGGTCATGTTAAAAAGAAGCAAAATATCAATTTGATGGGAAGCAACTTAGACAGTTGCCAATTCTTTTATGTTTCTCTTTCTTTAATAAGAGGTGAGACCTGAGGAAGTCAGTAATGAATATTTAAACATACTCTGAAGTGGCCAGATGCAGTTTTTCTTGGGCTTCTGTCCTGGTCATTTTAAGTCTTTGAAATCTTGTGTTGAATTATAATGGGACTGGGGGGCAGGGAAGGGAGAGCCAACTCCTTTTTGTTCCTTACTCTTGTTGGCAATAATGAATGGAAGGAATTTAATCCAGTGAAAGTAATGAAACTTAATCCTTGCAATGCATCTTTGTTACCCAGTTCAAAGAACTATTTAATGCATCTTATTCACACCATGCCCTCCCTCCCCAACTGAAGACACTTCAAATACACTACTCCAGAGTGCACACTAATACAGCAGTAACTCTGTCTTGGAAACCTTTCTATTGATTATTTCACTTGCTTGCCTGACTAGAGACTTGATCATTTACTGACCAGAACACTAAGGGTAAGAAAGGGTTCTCATCCAGCTCTCTTGTTGAATTTTTATATAAGCATTTGTTTTAGGACATCTTAAAGTGCCTTACGATTTTAAAACTGTATTTTGGCTGAAACATATGAATGTAGACTATCTCTAACAGTATTTCATTATAAGCTGTAAAACAAATTGCAAACACTAAACCTACAAAAATGTTATTTCTGCTGTTGTCTGTCCTTTATTTCCTGACATCTCAGTTCTGGTGTTTCTGCAGACAGAACTCTTGTAGGATTGGAAGCATTTCAATGGGGCTGTACAGGGGTGGGGAGTGGATGGGATTTGACCTGTACTGTGTAAACCCAAGAATAGGTGAGACTTCCAAAGGGACTGCTGAAACTCCTGGCTCTTGGGGCCCACTTGTGACAGACCAGTGTGTGTTACAGAACCAGACCCTGTTTTACTTCTGGAAGAATGTTGCAGAGACTTGCTCCACAGTTCAAAGGCAGAAGTAACTCACAGACAGGATAAATACCCGAACAAGAGCGGGTGGCGTCATGGTGGAGTTTTCCAACAATATGAAACAACAGTTCTAAACTTCATGAATTGCTTCCCTCCTAATGCACTAACCTTGAAACCTGTAAATGATTTTTTGAATGCTAATTTTCTGATCATGTTAACTGGATGATGTGTTCCCATTTCTTGAGTAATCCCATGTTTCCTCCTACATCCTGAAGAGTTTTGTGATGTATTGCCAAAATGTTTTGGATCCTGCCATGCAATTACCAGTTGTCAGTGCAGAAATGTGGTGTATTGGAAAATGGGAGAGTGGGAAACAAGAATGACTTGATATTAACTTCAGCAGGAACTATTTGGAGATGGTTCAACCTCAAATGTAAGGAAAAACCTCTCAAATTATGCAGCAGCTCCATTTTGAGTAACATAAAGTACAGAGGAGTGCAGTGACCTTGCAGTAATAGCCAGGCTGAGAATATTCTTATTTCTTTTTGTTAACTAATTTAAGGATACACTTTTCTTTGCCTTCTTAATGCCTACCTTATATGTGGAAATGAAATCCTTGAAGTGATGATTCCTGACACAAGTTGCCCATGTTTTCATCTCAGCAAATCGTGGCTCTCAGACCCTCTCCTCTGCCTTTGGCACTAAAACAGCAGGAAGACTGCAGAGGAAATGTGAGTGACTAGGTGGCTGAACCAGATGCTCAGAATGTCAAATTGACATTTTAGGCTCATGCAGCTGCACAGATCTAAAGGGAAGTGTTACACTGATGCATTGGAAGTGTGTCATCAAGAAGAGCTGTACTTCTCTTACTCAGACATGCTGCCTTAGGTGATCAAGACAGTTAGAGCTGAATGTAAGCACCTTCTCTGCACTGAGGTTGTGAGTTGCAGTTGCCTGCCTTTAAAAAAAAAAATTGGGAGAAAGTCCAACTGCTGCATTGAAGAAGGGCAGAGCCATCTCTTTGTTCCGGTCTGGGACTTACTGGTAGCAGCTCAAAGCTACTCTCAGAGTGGTAAAGGATTAATGTATCTTCAGTGTTGTCCAAGTGTCCTGTCTGTAATCACTTCTTGACTCCATGGAAAAAGCAGGATCCAAGGTCAGCACTGGTAAGTGAGTTGTATATTTGTCCTAAATATTACCCTTTCACCAGAGTGTCAAAAGGCTGGCTGCCATTTTACACACCTCTGAAGACCATTGTGTTGACAAATAAATTATTTCTTCAAGCTCTGTCACGCCTTATGTAAGGGAATGAGACAGACCACAGTGTTACAGGGTCTTTGCCAGAGCCTGACTTGGGCACTGATGAACAGGTGAGTTGGGAGGGCAAACCAACCCTTCATGTGGGTGATAGCTTAGCTGGGGGCAGGGGCTCAGAGAGTGAGCCCAGCAGGTCAGCATGTCACCCTTGCACTGTCTGCAAGGACACAGTTACTGCTGGTGAAAGGACATGTAGGAAAGGCACAGCATTGTTTTCTTTGGGGGTTGTCCCTGAAAGAGTAAATCTCAGGCTTTGAAAATGGATAGGAAAATGCCATTGTGGGAAAATGTTTTTCAGTAATTCCTGGTGTTCCTGGCATCCCTAGTAAAAGTTACTTTAACAAACATGCACAATATTGAGCAGTGTCCTTTTTGCCAGCCAATGTTACGTGGCTGCTCTAAAGCCCTGCTTTGCAAATGCTGTTTGTTGACTCGGAAGGGCAGCCGGTGGTTCCTCAGGAACAGCCGTGTGATGGGTGTAGGTGACCTCATGGATTCTCCTTGTGAGCAGGGGAACACTGAGCAAATCTTGACCCAACTGGCATTTCATGGGAATGGAGCAGAATGCGCATGGGGACCTGGATGCTGGAAATCAGAGACCTTGCATTTCCCTTAACAATAACCCTCTGCTGCAAACATGCTGGGTATTTCTTGAAGGCTGGGGTAAATCTGTCCTTTTGGGGACATCCTTTGTATCAGGTTAATGGGTCGGTGCAAGTTGTCTACTTTCTTGGCAGCAGCTCCCCCTGGGCCACTTAGGACAGGGCTTTGTTTCCCTGTGGATTGTCCTGGTCTCCCTCAGAGGGCCCTGGACTCAACCCCTGCTCACAAAACCTCCCCACAGGCACAGGGAGCCTGGTGAAAGCACTGGCTGAACCCAGCACTTTGTTTCTGTTGTGAGTAGCACTGCTGAAAGGGCCTTGCTGGAAGACTTTAAAACACCCCTTGCATTTATATAACCAAAAACCCTTTATAATCTAAATCAGACTCGAGTGGTTTGCAGCAGTGTTTTTTATCTTCAAATAAACACTGCAGTGTTTTCCAAAGTTGGGTTCCCTCCTTACTCTCTTCAGGCATTTGGAGTTAAATTGCATCTTTTTGTTTGTTTTTCTTTCTTTAAAGCAGTCCTGAGTCTTTGACTGAGAGATATAATCATAAAAGGCCTTGCAGAAAACCCCATGCAACTGGGCTCGTCAAAACATGTTTTGAAATGGTCCAGGAATGTCTGAAACTTTATGTTGGTCTTTCACAACTTGCAACCCCATCTGGCTGCCTTGCACTTTGAAAACCTGTTCAGAGATGACCCTTTGCCGTGGTTTGCAGGGAAAGCCCACACTCTGGTGCCTGGCCACGGCTCGTCCCTAGTCCCACACAGCCCTCCAAGAACTCTGCCTAGGAAAAAGGGCTTCTAGGAAAACAGATTTTGTTTGGTGTGTATGTGGAGGGGAGAAGTGTGGCCTTGGGAGGCAAAAACTGCCCTTGACTGAATGCTGACAGCTGGCATACGCCAGGCTTGTTGTGACAGCAGGTATTTTCAACCCTGTGCTCAGAAATCCCTAAAACTGTGGGCCATGAGGAAGAAAACCACTGTGCCGCATGTCCAGGAGCATCTTGTTTGCTTCCACACCTCTCGACAGAGGGCTGTGGGCATGTTATATTTAAACTCTGCATGAATAAGGGATCTGCTTTGGTTTATTGCTATAAATATGGTCTGCATTAATGGTGGCTGGCAAAGCCCTGATGGGGTATATTCCTGCTCCTGTGATCTCACTTCAGGCAGGGCATTGTGGCTAGTGAATTCCCCACAGGAAAGAGGGCAAAGGCAGAGCGTCTCCCAGGGCCAGCGTGTGCCTGCGGCAAGGAGGAGCCTGAGCTTGTGCTTGTTTACCTGCACCAGTTGCACATAAATGCCATTTGCACAGGAGGGGATTAGCAGGGCTTGTCTTCCACCAGCAGCCTGGAAAAGGGCATGTGCAAGGGCAGGGGGTGTTACTGGAATCGCTGCTGATGCTGCAGGTGGCTGGCCCAAAAACAAGTTCTAAGAGAACTGGCTGCTGGTGAGGATGTCAAAAGGGGCCATCCCTGCATGGTCCAAGGGAGGCTCATGTCAGGTGTCTCCTTAGGATTGGGAAATGGCAGATGCCTTTGTCATTACACCAGTTGAGTTTTTGCGTCCAAAAGGTAATTTCTCTTGGAGCAAGAGGTTAACCAGTGGTTGCCTGCTTGCTTTCTGCTCTGGGTTGTCACAGGAGCTTTGCTCCCACAGTCAGAGATGTGCCCCTCCAAGGTGACTCCCTTTGAGAAGTGTATTGAAAATGGGTGGCAAAAGTGTCACTTCTGTGTCACACTGCCAGTTATCTAAGATTTTTGGGGATTCACATTATGAAATAATATTGACCCCAGGGTAATTCCTCAAACCCAACACCAGCTTCTGAACCAAGGGTGTCCTGACAGAAAACAACACCAACAACACCATTTGTGGTCTCCTGGCAAAAGGAGAACACCAGGGGTGATCAGTGCCATCCATCATGGGCTCTGAAGGTGGCTTCTGTACCGAGTGAGCGAGAAGGAAACATCCTCTTCAATGGCACTTTTTGAATGCCACTCCCTCTTCAGACAACTTTTCAACAAAGATGCCTACTACACCATTCCACACATCACCAGTGTCTAGTGAGGGTGTCTCACATGATGCTTTTTAAACCATCATGGTGTTGTCCCCAGATTTCCGTAGCCAAAGGTGAAGCCTGATGATAATTTGACATGACAAAATGAATCCCTGGTCTGACATGACTAAATAACAACAGTGGTGTGACAAAGGGCCTTTGGATAGAGCAGAACATATTTCATCATGTGTGAAGTAATAGATGTTGCTTTTTCCATGGAAAGGGATTTAGGAATATGGAAATATGCCTCACAAATAATTCTTTCTCATTCATTAATGCACCAGCTGATGAATCCTCCAGTGAAACCTGGGATGGTTGAGGAGGTTCATGGTTATCATGACCCAGCAAATCTTTAAGGTGATGGCTGGTTCACCACCAGCAGAAAAGCCTTTTGTCCTTCCACAGGCTCTGCAGACAACTTCATGTTGGTTATAGTCTCGGTCCAGACAACCACAGGAGTTGTGCATGGGTCTGCAGTAACTTTGCTCATTCTGTGCATTCATTTCTGAAGTCCAGAGTAATAGCCTGGCAACAGAAAGGCTGGAATGACTTTTGAAAAGGCTGTTCCAGTCATCTTTTGCTACTGCTCCAGGCACCAGCATAATGTATTTTCCCAAGCCTACTTCCCAGAAACCTGGTATATCCTTGGGTTTAACCATTGCAGAAGCTGAGCTGCTGTTTCATGAGAAAACATCAATGCTGGCACTCCTGACTACAGTGATAAAAACATCCTCCCTTGCCTGTGTTTTCTCCTTGTCGTAACGTGCCTGAACATCCCAGATCTGAGAGCTATTCCATGTGACTGTTGAGTTGTACATGGCAGCCCAACCATTTCCTCCCCTCTCCTCTCTTATCTTTTTACAGAAACAACCTTTTCATACTTGCAAGTCCTGTTGCTTTTGTCAGGCCTTTTCTTCAGAATTCTCCAGGGTGAATAAAGCTGAGAAATGTCTTGTCTTCACAATCTTTTATTCAGCAACAAGTGTCTTCTTCATGCAAATTTCATTGGCAAGCATCTAGTCAAACGTTTTCAAAGACATCCATTTTTTCAATTTCTTTTTAAGAAAAGAAAGGTGTGTTTCTTTCATTTTTAAAGCAGCTCATGATGAATGGGCTTTCAGAACCTTCAGAGAGACTGAGGAGTTCACAACTTCAAGGCTGGTGTGTGTTGTCCTATGAAGCCTGTGATTATAATCCCTTTAAAGGACAGTAAGCAGAAACTCTTCTGAGTTGTACAATATTTTCCCATCTCAGATTCTAAATGTTGGGGTAAAGCAATCAGCAGCTGCTGCTTTGAATTTCACAATGGCAACAAAGCAGCAAGCTTATTGATCAAAGTGCTTCACTGCATAGTTAAAAATTCTGTACTAAAGGTCTGTGATTTCTCAGGTACATGTCCTTGACTCAAAATAGCTTTAAAGGCCATCGAAAATCTATCATGTGACTTGTAAAATGTGGGCATATTTAGATCAGCATCCATTTAGTGGTTGTTAAATTGGGTGTTGCACATCCACGGAAAGCTGGATTGGAAACAATAGTTCTGCTTCTAAAATTTGTTTGTGCCAGCTTTTACAGAGAATAAGAAACAACTGTTTCCTTGCATGCCAGGCTTGCATTTGCCTCGTTTCTCAGTTGTCACCCCTCCTGTTCCTGCTCTACTTTCCTTGTTCACTTCAGCTGAAGAGCTCCTAGCTTTTAACTTCCTATTTACTCAATTATTCTTGGCATTATGGATGCCCAAACATAGATGGTGGTGACTTCCATTTCCTGGCTCTGTTTCTCATAACCCCTTCTGCCTTTGTCTCTGAGGTCAGCAGCGTTGTCCTTGTGAAAGCCAAGGCTTTGCACTAATTTAGCATACTAATTCAGCTTTTCAGCATTACTGGCTTATCTTTACTCCCATTTGCCTCCACACAGCACCCCCTTCCTGTCTTCTTGTTCTTCCTTCTGCACAAGGATTTTTCCATGACCCCATGGTGACCCTTTTCCCTTCCATTCCTCACACAGCAGCCCCTTCTCTGGCAGCCAGCATAGACATCCACTATGCCAAGGAGCCCACTCTCATAGATGTCCTTTTCTACAGGGCTTGTTGGTGCAAGTTGTTTGTGGCTTTTCCTTCTATCCTCACATCTTAGTGCCTCCTCTTTTTCCTCCTAGTGAGCCCAGAAACACCTTCCACAGCTGGC